GCAACTTTTTTTCTACTTAAATAGTTCGTAGAAGAAGCTTTTTTTATTCGCATTAAAATGCATCGATAAACTCATTAAGATAATTTTCTTACGTACAATTCAAAAATATATCGTATATAGTTATTCAAACGATTAGTTGCATATATGATGACGTTAAATAATCATTTGCACTTAAAGAATGATTTCTCGAATAGTGAATATTGAATTATTAAAGTTATGCAATTTGAATAATAAATTATTCTTGTAGTCAATTATTTCAATAAAAATGCATATTCTTATAATTATTATTATTCATAATATTAAAATGTTTGAATCATTGGATTTTCATTGGAATTATTATTACAAATAAAATAATCGCTCTAAATGTTTCTGCAACGTTCAACCTCAACAATTTTTTAATCATTTTTTGATTCTCATCTTTTCGCGTTTCCGTTTTCTTCGCGATTTACAATCGCGAATCGCCCCGACTGATTCTGCTTAGCGAAAAGAACGCGACTTGTTCGATAGTTTATCACGCATATTACGCGCCATCGACCTCAACGTTGCCGCAACTACCGTATCATTACCGTCATCATCGTTCTTATCATCGTCTTCGTCATCCGCGTCGTCGTACGCATTCATAATGACCGTAATGAACCGCGACCGAGGTGCGCCCGCGTGTATGGCAACTTCCTTGGCGCTTCTTTCTTCTTCTTACCCGTCCTATCGCCTCCTCTTCGCGGTCCTTACGCCCTTTTTCACTCCTACCTACCGGAGTTCCTCCATTAATTCCGCGAGCCGCGAGCATTAGCATGTCGTTAGCGTGGCCGCGCTCTCCCGCCAACATATGAAACCATTACCGGCTTGCCTGGGAGGAGATCTCGAACGATGTCGAACGTTGCTTTGCGCGCATCATCGTTCGCGTGCTCGTCTGACATGCACACCTCTTCGTGTCACGGGCCAAGGCTTCCACTGGTCGAACCATCATCCCATTTATCACGTTTCTTATGCGTGCACCCATTTATGACTCGAGAGAAATTTGCTCTCCTATTTGCGTTTATTCGTTTTGTCGACGTTACCGCACGCTTTGATGATCTTCACCGATTTTATTTATTCATTTATGGACTTTTGAGTGTCGCAAAATTTGATGATTAAAAATTGAGCAGCCTGCGTATTTTTGAACGTCAAGCAGAATAATGGTCTTTCGGATCTTTTCAGATACATCGAGTACTTCAGTGGATTGTTATCGGGCTCCCTGAGAATCAGCCAGTCGCCATTGTACCTGACCCATCTGACAGTCCTCGGCGTGCCGCTCTTTGAACCGACGGGCTGTCGAGCCTTCCTCAAAGTGTACGAAGGACTTACGCCGGTCTACACCTCAGATCTGTATTCCGTGACGAACGCGCGCGAATTTACGGTTAATCTCGGCGGACTTAGACTGAGGGGTGACATCTTGGTCAAGTGTTATCACAGGGTGTACTCGAAGCAGACGCGAGAGGTTATGTTTTCTCTCCAGGTAAGAACGCAATATATTTATGACTTTATAACACACACTTCTTCATTAAAATCTATCCGTTTAATATTTCTTAGTAAAGTGTTTATCGGCTGATCTTATTAGACTGCAATTTTGTGTTACTGAAAGCAGTTTTAATTATATGAGACGTTGAAATGTGTATCAAATAGCACAAAGCCAACGTTCATTAACGTTTGTATCCGTCACACATATATCCGTCGCACATCGTTGCAGTGATTCATTTATGATGAATGCATTATAACACGCAAGTGACATGGCATGAAATCAGCGGGCATAAATGATAGCTTATGTAAAATGGTTCGTAAATAGTTACAAGGACAGCGATCTAGATTTATGTGTTCGGCAAACATATTCGCGCGATAATTTTGTCCCCGACAGGCAAATAACATTCTCGGAAGGTCCTCGATATAAGGTCGTAATCTGTTAATAGCTGGATACATTTTACTCTTTAATTGCGTAAAAATGCCGATACATAAAAACTCTATGGAAAAACATGCAATTAAGATATGTTACACCGTGTTTTATTTTATTAGAGTTTAGAGATTTATAAAAAAAAAACAGATTACATATGTTCGACTTAATGGAAATTATAATGCACACGGTTGTTTACGCGATCCGACGGAAACACATTTAAATTTGCATACTTGCATCCTGTTATGATTTATCTACCATATTTTACGTCTACAATTCGCATACACGTTGTGTTGCAAATTGTGTGTCTCTATCGAAAAATTTCCAATTGAATGTTAAATTCTTGTGAAAAATTTTCATAAGCAACAAATCAGTTTCAAATCGCAGAGAATCTACAAGTAAGAGAACATTCTCAATAATAAATGACTTTCGACAAAAGAATTGTGTAAGATTTTTACGGCGTAGACTTCACGTCAGTCAATAATTATATCTTGTTATTATTTCCGCAGTTCCATACGTGTGTAATTACGGAGAACGTCGTCTCTTTCCCACGTTCGGAGCTCGACGTCGCCTGCGACGATCCTCGGTGCCCGCCTGACAGCGTAGTGACACTCTACTTTGCCACCGACGCAAAGCGTCAGGACGGTCCAGTACCGGCGCCGACGCCCGCCGTGCCGCATGCATCGGCGCATCACGATCCTATTCTGCACTGGGACAGCTACACAAATCTCGAGATCAGTGACGACGGTGAGTGGATTTTTCCATTTTTATTACGGCTTTTCTCTAACGCAAGCGACAAAGTAAAACTGATCTATTTATTTTAGAAGTTTTTTTAAAATGTTTTTTTAAATGAATGAAAATTAAATATGGAATTAGCATAAAACTCTTTCGAAATTTTCTCTCAAAGATTAATTAAAATTAAACATAGAATATTTTGTTTTATATCGTTGGTATTTAAACAACGATGGATTAATTTGCAAATCAATGAATGATATCGAGTTCTGCATATCAAATTGCAAATGGGTGATTGGAGAAAAAATAAAAATAAATGTTCGTGTACTAAAACATTGGTCTTCTATATTGCTTTGCCAATGAAATATGTAAATGTTTGGCAATGTACGATAAAAATATGTATTTTTATAAACGGACAGTTGGAACATGAAACGCGCGCCGTAGTTGACATTTAACATCAAAATTATCATGTTTCACTCTCTAACTTGAACAAAATCTATAATACAGATAAACATACAAACGACATTATTATAGGGTCAATTTCGTAAAGTATCTCTTATTTACAACATAATTTCCCGTCTATCTGTTGCGTTATCGTATTTGATGATACGAGCTCGATTAATTTACTGATATCCGTGAAAGCCGCGGACTGCGGTCCAGGAGCTCATCATCGTCGACTAATTCGTACTAATTTTCGACGTAATGGCACCCAATTAACCTCGATCTGACAGCGAGAGCTAGTCAGAAATACAACTTGGCTGGCGCTCATGGTGCGGAAGGGGGGAATGAGCTAGACGAAAGCACGGTAGTTAGTATAGTGCATTTAGAACGGCTGACTAATACCGCCGGAAATACGTTCTGTCAAGTGGAGGGAAAATGGTGGTTTATCGCGACGGGGGCGATTTCCACGGCTGGAAATAGATCAAAGGTCGGCCCGATAGATGGGCAAGGTCCATCGAGTTAGCCGCTTCCGAGTGTAACGTTTCTACTCTATCGCTGTCTATTTACATCTTCACTTTTCTCCGGTGCACTGACATGACTTCTCGATGAATGAATAAATTGGTTGTCGTAACGAATGTAATGTGAAACATATTCTCTGAATGCATCGAGAACGTCACAGAAATTATGAAGAAATAATGATCCAAATAACATGAAAAGTTTATTTTTACTGGAAATTTCTGGAAAAAATATTCATTAAAACTTTATACAAGAGAAATACGGCAAATACTAAATGTGATTCTTTTAATTTAATTAAAAACGCGAAATGATCGTAACAAACATTATTTTACTTTCTCTTTAGATCTATTCATTTGTCAATTCTCAACAAATGCAATAATTAGTTCACTATCGAAAGGAATTTACACTTATTACATGGATTTATCCACGCTTGGCGAGGGGCAGCGGGTGATTTCAATGTAGGGATTTGTTCCGCCCGGTATAGTGCTTTAATCGAGACGATTGCATCATCACCATGATACTCCCAAAAGCACGCGTCGGCAACACCGTACGACCAACGCTCTCGGAGTCAATTCGTTTCGTTAGCGATCGGCCAGTGGGTTCCAATAAAGCTGTGACCCAAATTGCGCGCGATGCTAAATCGACGCCATTTGTTACGGGACGAAGAGTGACGAGACCGGAAAGAAAGATGGAGGGTGTCCGTGAACGCGGCGTGACCTGCGGCCCGAAAGGAGACAGATAGATCAGTGAATGGGTTGGGCTGATTGGATGCCGGTAGTTTAACCGCAATACTAGCGGCGACCCGGTAGATGGCCGGATATCCACCCCCGTTCGACTAAAGGGTGTGACCAAACTGGAATCAATTCCATTTCTCGACAGGCGAACAGCGCGGCGAGCAAAAAAGATCTGCGTATCTCTGTCGCTGTCGGGTCGCGATCAATCGTCGCGATCCTTCCGCATAATTCGGCGTCCGCATTTCCACATTGCCGATTTGCTTCTCACTCGATTTTAGTTATCTAAAAATTGACGGCGAATTATTTCTGGACCGTCGTCGAGGATGAAAAGTCTATTTTCAATTCTCGCGTGTACAAATCAATCTTTTACACGTGTCGTGGAATTCTTACGCGCATAAGGACAGCTTGATCGCACGTGCAACTTTTGAATCACCGCGACGGACAATACACGATTTCCCAAGCCGCCCCCCTAATTGTCCCCACGTTGAGTTCAGACATTCTAAATCACACTTAAATCATTCCAATCTCACTCGTGTCGTTAAGCATCGAAGTGGTTTGTCGCCGGCGGGCGCGCCCGCATCAATTGGCGCTCGGGCCTTCGATTTGCGCCGCTACTTTATCTAACGATTTAATGTGAGTCTGCGCTCGTGATTTTCCTCCTGGCTAAGCGACAGCGAGAAGATTATGTAGGGGACGCATTTTCACGTTGCGAGACATTTACCGACACGAACAGCCTTTTCCCGCCGGCGAAACGGCGAGTGTAACGAACTCTCATTGGGACGAGCCGCCTGACGGAAGCATTGCGGTACCCACACGTTGCACCCACGCGACAGAAAATAAGTTGCCGTGCTGGCGCGAACGATCCGTTTTAACGACCCACTGAATTACGTGAACCGACGCGAAAAAGTTTTCAAACTCCTTCTTTGATCGGTGACGCGCGAAGCGAGGCGTAATGAATCTTCCATGTTTCCGGGTAATTTTGTACAAAACAGATCCGTGCGCTTAATTCCTTGGGATGATCTGTTTAAAACACTGCGAAAGATAGCGGAGCAAAATTAGAAAATCGATGATGAAACTGTTTCAATTGAACATAAATAATTGAAATTTTGATTGAAAAACAAGTTGACAAACGAAGAAAAATTTATGTTTGTTTGAGACGAATATAATTATTGATTTAACTAAGAATATTCTACATTAATATATCGTTTGAATAGAATAATTTATAAAGTTGAAATAAAAAAGTGGCAATTAAACGAACGTTTTATTAATAAGTAGGCTCCATTACGCGGATCAAATTGTAACAAAAGTCGTGGAAGCTGCATCGTGAAAAGGTATGGAAAGCAGCACAATATAAATGATTTTCATGGTGGTGGGGAGTCCGCGGGTTTATTCTTGGCGTCGGGACGCCATGGATGGGGATAGAGCTTAACAGTTTTCGCGCGCTTCCACGTAACCGTACTCAGTTCGATTCTTGATCCTCCCGTGATCAATAGTGCGTGCGTGTCTCTTTTACAAACTCTAGTATTTTTATCATATATATTGATAAATACACGAAATCTCATTGCGTGATAATTGCGCGCAACTACGTTATTGTGGCAACTGCGAAATTGCGATTACCAAAGTGGCGAAAGTGGCGAGCATTTTGAGTAAGTTGATTTTATTTCAATTCGTGTTTCATTTCTATCAATATAGCGGTTCAAATTGTCGAGTATAAATTTCACTGTTAATTTTGGAATTACTTGGACAGATTTTAAAGAGTGACTTTTTGAAAGTATTAACATTTTGAACACCATTTTCACATCTTTAATCAAATTTAATTTGAAATTTGCACAAAAAATGTTTCATGTTATTGTTAAAGATTGCTTTGACTCGTTTATAAATACATTGTATCAAGTATTTTTTCTACCGCTTTCTATCGTGATACTGCAAAATTTCACGACAAATATCTGCTCAACGTGTCACGATACTTGCGATTGGAGACTGACCTTAATCTTACGGTCTACCGTTAAGGTGACATGCGGGATAGAAATTTTTGATCCAAAATTGGCGAACCGGCTTGACCAGGCTACTCTCGCTCCGGGAATCGCCTTCAGACCGCGCCACGAGAAAGTTGGTTCTTGGAAAGTATAGACCGAGCTTGATCTTTAAGAAAACACACCCCATAGTTGGTAGCTGTCGAGATAACCGTTTACCATAAGATTTGTCTGTCAAAGTTTTTACGATAAAAAGACAACAAATTGATGTCGATATCCTGAAACTGTTTTCTTATCCTCTCCTTGATAACTCTTCTGTTTACTTGAAGTTTACTGTTTACTTTATAAGAAAAGCAAGTATTATTTCATAAAAATTAATGTAGAGTAGTAGAAACAAAATTTTGCTGGAGAAATGTAATAAATTGTGAAATAAGGTGTCGAAATATATGCTAAACAGATTAACGGTAGCCGGTAAGCCGATATCGCCTAGTCATCGCACACTTTAACCACTTGACACGCGTCAGGCTTTTACCGCCTGACTACCGTTTGGATTACAAATTTTTCTGCGCTACCTGTCTCTAAAAATAAAACGCGCCATCACTCGTTGATCCTCAAAAAATCCGCGCTTGCGGCTCGACCTCGGACCTTTTGTTTGGCCGAAGAAGTTGTGCGGTAAAACAAGAAGAGAAATCCTCCGCCCAACAAGGCTAAGAGAGGGGGTGAAAGAGTGAGGACAGAGAACAGAGACAAGAGCCCATTGTCTTGTCGTTCGGTCATATGTCTTGCCGCTGTTACGTCACCATTGTTTACCCCAACCCTGCGCGGTTCTCCCCGTGCAGGGCTGCCTCCAGCAGTTTTATTTTGCCACTTCGATGCCCATTGTGCGGTGTTTTTGCCCTTTGCGGGCAGACGTAACCAAGAGAAATCGTTTTTTGCCTCGGGGCCGATGTCAATATCGAGATTTCCGGTATCGCTGTGTCGCGTAAAATGGAAGAGCCGTAACTCTAAATTTGGGGCGTGTATATCTCATAATACATAGATAATCTTCGGGAATGAGCAAGATTTCAAAATTTTTTAATTTAAAATAAAATTTTTAAACATCTTACAAAGTGCATTTAACGGAATAGTGATAATTATTTCAGTCATGAGAAAAAGATTAATATTCAAGAATGATGCAGGTAAAATAATATTGCATATTCAGAATCACATAATGTAAATTTGCACGCTGCTATAAATTAAATTGATCATTTTCTTGATTCTCGATGCGCAAATAAATCTTATTCCGCCTCGCATTCTAACGTTTTACGGAGACTGACGCATTATGCGTCATGTCATCTTACGTACAAATCGT